ACCCCTGCCCTCCCCGCCGTACTAGCTCTCCCAGCGTAACGCTTTCCCCACGTTGGAGCCAGCGACGTACTTTCCCCATGGGGACCGACCACCTCCAGGTCCCCTCACTATCACCTCCCTGGTCCTCCTCAGGCCTCTGGGCAGACCGGGGGTCACCGGCCCCTTCTTTAGGTGGAAAAATGAAGCCCCCAGAGGCCTCTCCCCGTCAGTGGTCCAGGCAGGATGCTGCGGCCTTCTCTCCTCCTGGCAGGCCCTGCTGGCTGGGCGGCTGTGCCCTCTGCCCTCCCCTGCTGGCCCCCGCCCACCTAGTCCCCCAGGGAGCAGGGCTCACCGCACAGTGTCTCCTGGCAGCAAGGGTTGTTGGCCAGGGGCCTGGTCAAGGTTACGAAGCCAGCCTGGCTGCACTCCGGGGGCGGGCCCTGGGCCTCGCACTGCACAGGGACACACTGCACCGTCACAGAGCCCTCGTTGCACACGCAGGCCTGGCAGTTGCTGATCCACCGCTCTCCAGGCTGGAACAGACCAGGTCAGGGTCCCCGAGGGCCCCTGGACGGTGCCCGGCCTCCCAGCTGTATCCAGCAGCACCAGGCCAGCCCTCACCCCCACCCCCAGCCACCACCCTGGAGCAGCCCCGTGACGGATGCATGGCACACCGAGGCGCCCCACACCAGCCCCTCCACAGCTGCCCAGCCACGGCTGCCGCCCAAGACCAGGGCACTCCCCACTCCCTCCCGCCTTCTGCTTGAGCAGGGTGGGGCCAGCTGAGGGCAGAACCACTCACGAATTTGGGAAACCCATCTGGTCCCACGCAGGCTGGAAGAAAAAGAGAAAGGGGGTCACTGGGAGTCCTGGGGTTCGCAGCCCAGTGGCAGAGGCCACGGGCTGAAGGAACATGTCCTCTCGGGCCCGGCCCCTCCCCAGTCAGGGCCACTGTCTTCCCCTCTCTTCCCACTGGGACCAGAAGGCCCCGCAGAACTCAGGGCTTCTCGGAGGAGGGGGCTTGGCAGGGCTCCAGGCCATGCTGCTGGCAGAAGGAGTTAGCGCCGCTGGGCTGGGGCTGCAGGTGGTCTGACATTAAGGCCGACGGGCCCAGGACGGGCCCTAGACAGGGATGTCCCACCCTGTGCCTCCCCCCAGCCCCATGGGTCAGGGGCCCAGGCCATGGCTGGCGCTTACGGCACTCGGGCACACAGACATCCGTGTGTGCGTTGAAGAGGGTGAGGCCGTCCGGGCAGAAGCAGCCCTCCGCCAGCCCCTTGCTCTCCGGGCTCTGGGTCCTGCGAGGCAAGAGAGGCAGTCCTGGGGGCCTGCACCCATGTGGACAGCCAGTCCGAGGGAGGAGGGCAGCGGGCAGGAACAGAGTGTTGGGGTTGGTCGGCTGCCCTGGGCGTCCCATGGGGCCAAGGATGTAGGTCGGGGTGGGGAAAGGGCACCCCAGAGTTCCTGACCCTTCCTTCTGCCCCCTCTTGGCTCCTCCCAGACCCTTTAGACGCTGGCTGGCTGGCACTCACCTGGAGTCACAGGTCGTGGGCTGCACAGGGCCACATGGCTTGTACACCTTTTCAGGTGGGCAGGTGAAGTCTGGGGGCACAGAGACAGGTGTCAGGTAGCCCTCCTTGCTGCTCTCGGGGACTAGCCAGAGCTCCCAATGACTGCCCCTAACTCACCACACAGCCCACCGGTGGCATTCCGCCAGTCGCTGCACACGCCCCGGGCACGGCAAAGCCCTGCGTAGGCCTCTAGGCTCTGGCAGGGCACCTCGGGGTGGCCGGCCTGGCAGGCATCCTTGACGCAGATGCTGAAGAACAGGCTGGGCGGGATGAGTTTGTGGCACTCGGCGAAGATGCTGTGGGCAGGGGCAGAGGTTGGAGCAGAGAGCTGGGTCCTGGGCCCAGACAGGGGTCACTGCCCCAGGGTGGCCACACCCCCAGAGAGGGACTCACTGGCTTAGCATCAGCTGGCAGAGGGGTGCTGGGGGACACGAGGTAGAAATGGGTGTGGTGGGCTCCGAGGAAGGGGGGCTGGTGGTTGTGGGCAGGCCTGTGGGTGGCAGGCAGCCCTCCTTGCTGCTCTCGGGGACTAGCCAGGAGCCGGCCATGTCCTGGCAGGTGGGGGCCATGGTGCCATCTGGCCGGCGGCAGTCGTCCGTCTTGCTATTGGTGCAGGTGCCTGGAGAGTGGGGGTCCGGTAGGGTCACCGTGGGGGCCTGGCTGGGCACCCAGGCTCCCCATTCTCCGGCCTCTCGTTCCCATCACCTCCCTGCGGTTACTCGGTGATGCAGCACTTGTTGCTGAGATGAGAGGCAGCTCTGGCCTGACGCAGGTGGCGGGAGGGCGGTAGTGGGCACCTCTAGGGGGTGGGGATGCCACCCTGGGGGGCCACAGGCAGGACGTGGAGGGAGGAGTGGTTATAGGACTCACAGCAGCCCCCCACCGGTCCCCACTCACCGCACTGGCCCTCGGTGTTGTGGTTGAAGTTGCTGTAGGACAGCTGGATCTGGAAGACTTGCCCGTCTAGGGTGACGCTGACGCCGATGGCAGGAATGTCCACCTGCATCCTGGTGCTTGTTGTCAGGGACACGCTCACGCCGTCCTTGCTGAAGCCTTGGCTCACCCGCGTGCCGTCAAACAGGACCTGGGGGCGTGTCGGAGGACCCGTCAGTAGGGTTGGGTCCATCCTCGGCAGGCAGCCCCCCCCCAAGTGCAGCAGCTCCGCTCGCTCGGGGCCGGGGTCTCCCCCACGCTGTGCTTGGCACCGCGCTCACCAGGCCCTCCTCCTGCCCGCCAGCAGCCGTCGTGGTGGCGAGGATGACCTCCGTGGACTTGTAGTGGACGCTGAGGGCGATGGGGCAGCTGGTGGAGGCCACGGCTGCCGGGCAGTACTGCTTGTAGAGGAGAATGGTGAGGTTTCCGTGGAGCGGCCTTATCTCCCGCATGAGCACATACGTGCAGTTGCCCCGGAAGGAGTAGGAGGTGCCGTCGAAGGTGATGTAGTTGGAGCCCCCCCAGCTGCTGCAGGTGCCTGTGGACAGAGACAGTGACCTCACCCAGCGCCACCCAGCAGGGCCACCTCGGGGAGTCACGCCCCCGGGCCTCGGCTGCTTCGTGTATGCAGTGGGCGAGTGGGTTGGTGATGAAGGTGGAGGCGGGGTGAGAAGCCTCGTCCTGGGAGCGCCAGGAGGGGGCAGGAACGACCGTCCTCTGCAGCTTTGGGGAGGAGTGGCCCTGTGACATCTTCGCCTGGGGCTCTGGCCTCCAGGACCAGGGAGAATTGTGCCTGCTGTTGGGAGGCACCTAGTCTGTGGTCCCTCCTGGGGCAGCTCTGGGGAAGGGGGCTCAGGACCCCAGGACACGTGCCCCGGTGAACCCCGTTTCTGCCCCTACTGGCCCTTGCAACCTGCCCTGCACGCCCAGGCCGGCCCCTGTGGGGGGCTGGTCAGCACTGGCTCCCACACCCGCCTGGGCCCCGCCGTCTCTCACATTCGCACTCGTAGTGGTACTGGCAGGGCTCCTGCTCGCTCTGCACTTTCACTGGCAGATGCCCATTCACACAGGTGACCTGTGCCACAGGCTTTGGCTCCAGCAGGACGATGTGATTGTCGCCCTCGCACCGGGCCACTGTGCAGTTCTCCAGCGTCCAGGACTCGTTCACCTGGCAGACAACAGGCATAGAGCTCGCTGGGAGAGCTCCAGAGACCCGGCCTCAGTCCCGCATGGCCCAGGGCAGGACTGTCCAGGAGTGTGGCCCGGCCCCAGGGGCTCACCCAGCCCCAAACTCCATGCTTCCCTCCCACCAGAGCTCCCCACGGAGGGGTCCCCAAGGGGCTGGGGGCTCGCCCCAACTGGAAACAGCAGCACATGATAAGGGCAGGCAATGCCGGGAGGAGGGTGTGCACCTGTCGGGGAGGGTCCACAAGGTCACAGCCCGGAGCCAGGGAGGTCAGGGGCAGCGAGGTCGGGGGCTCCGGGGGTGAGGAGGTGGGGCAGGCACCCTGGAAGCGATCCAGCTCACAGTGCTGGTTGCAGACGGCGTAGAAGTGGCAGCCCGCACTGTCTGTCCTGTTGTAGACAACGTCCCCTGTGGGGAGAACATGGCCAAGACAAGACACCCCAGTCAGCGAGGAGTGGTCTGTACACGCACCTGCCAAAGGGTTGGGCTTGGGGCAGAGCAGGGTGGGCACCGGTGAGAGGGATTGAGTGACCTGGGTGGACTGTCCTCCGGGAGGGACATGGTCCTGCACACACCTGGTAAGAAGAGCTGTCCAAACGCCTGGCAGAAGCAGGGTACTGTGGAGACGAGTGAGCCGGGAGAGGCGCTTGGCCTGAGGGTGCTGAGGATGGAGGGGGACGTCGTGGTGTCCGGGGACAAAGACGGGGCACACGGGCTGTCACAGCACAGCAGGCGCACGTGGTAGTTGTGGCAATACTGCATGGGCCCCGGCTGGTCCCGGTTCCTGCACACCAGCCCGAACCTCACGTCGCACTGGACCACCTGGCCCACGTGCTCCAGGCTCATATCCGGCGCCACTTCTGCTCGGCACTCGATGTCCTGCGGCTGTTGGCAGAAGTCGTGGCCGGCCCTGCGGAGGGCCGAGAGGGTCTCAAAGTCCCCGCCATCAGGAACTGGGGTGGGGTAATCCTCATCAAACCAGTCTGTCCACGTGCACTGTGGCGTGCAGATCCCAGAGGTCAGGGAAGTCGTGGAGGTCATGGAGGTCAGGGAAGTCAGGGTGGGCTTCAGGGTGCTAGAGGGAAGGACGGTCCCAATGGAGGGATGGGTGGACAGGATTGCAGGCGTGGTCTTAATGGGGGAGGTCACAAAGGTTTCCCTGCTGGAGACCCCAGTAGTGGCCGTGCTTGGGCAGTGGCTGTAGTCATCACAGCAGAGCACCCGGATTTGGTAGTTGAGGCACATCTTGAAGCGGCTGCCCTGGTCCTGGTTGCGGCACACCAGGCCCACCTCCAGGTCGCAGAGCACCACCTGGTCCAGCTCCTGCAGGGGGACATCCGGCAGCCTCTCGGCCCGGCACTGGAGGCTCACCGGCCTCTCGCAGACGAACCCGCCAGCTGCGCGGATGTTGGCGTAGGTCTCAAAGTCCCCACCAGAGGCCCCGGACATGGGGTAGCTCTGGTCCAGCCAGTCTGTCCAGGTGCAGCGAGGCTGACAGCCAGTGGCCGTGGCCGCTGAGGTCGTGGGGCCGGAGGTCAGGATGGGCGTGGTCTGAGCCGTGGCTGAGGGCCCCGTGGCCGTGGAGGTGGATGTGTAAGGGCCAGGAGTGGTGCCCTGGAGGGCACTGGTGATCTCGGGAATGGGGGATGCTGGAGAGGCAGAGGGAATGGGGACAGAGAGCCTCTCGGTGGTCCTTGGAGAGGAGGGACCCATCTCAGTGCGGGCTGTGGAAACCGTCTCAGTGGTCCTGGGGGCTGAGGGGAGTGGCAGGGTGGTAGTCTTGGTCCAGGCGCCTGTGGTTCCCACTGTCTCCGAGCCCGTGCTGCTGAGGGTGGCTGTGGTCCCGGGCGTGGGCGTGCTGGGGCAGTGGCTGTAGTCATCACAGCAGAGCACCCGGATTTGGTAGTTGAGGCACATCTTGAAGCGGCCGCCCTGGTCCTGGTTGCGGCACACCAGGCCCACCTCCAGGTCGCAGAGCACCACCTGGTCCAGCTCATGCAGGGGGACGTCAGGCAGCCTCTCGGCCCGGCACTGCAGGCTCACCGGCCTCTCGCAGACGA